AAGTATTCTCTCAGATAGTCTGAGATTACATAGCTATTTGTGAAGTGCATTTCAATAACTTTAGTCTACAAACATTTTCCCTCTAAAATGAGCTTCTTCCGGTTATCTTTATTCCAAGGTGTGTTTGATGTTCTTAACAACTGTTTCCAAGATGCAAACATATCTTTGTATCTAATTACAAAGAGCCCAAACTTCCGTTCTCTGGTTCAATGCACAATATTAATGAGGTCAATGATTATGTTAATTGGGGAGCATTCTACAGCATGTTTTAATTAGTTCTCTGTATTCTGATTTAATGAAGAGCCCGAAAACTTCACTGGATGCTTGAAATGCATACAGTTCTCAGCTTACACGCTTTAAAGGGACATTTAAAGAACTTTGCACTCTGTAAAGACTTTATATAAAACATTAAAAATAATTTTACTATTTATTTGCTGTTTTTTTTTTTTTTTTACTTTGCCAGAAGTAAAAATTAAACAAATATACCTATCCACACACACTCTAACCCTTCTCGCAAGATTTAAATCTTGCACTTTACAAACATGATATATCTGATATAAAAAAAAAAAACAGTGTGCAGAGGGAATTTTCCTGGATGTCATGTTGTAGGTCTGACCGTCTAGGTTTTAATTTGAGTACACTCTCTTGTTTTCTGCCTCTAATGTCTGGCATGAAATGCAAAAAAAAAGACCCAATATTAAGCTATTTTATAAGTGCATTAAGTTTACAAATTACTTCTTTAATGAATAACCTTCCAAGACTCCATTTGAAGGGCCATTATCTGAGTGTTCCAATCTATTGCCTCACCTCCAGACTTTAACATTTATTATACTGATGAGATGCAATTAAAAGAGCAGATGTCCACAAGCTGCTCTCATCTGAGACGAGTAAATAAAATACCAATCCACACAATAACATTACCCATGAAAAGACTTTGCTTGGCGTCACGACAGGTAACCTAGGAAAACACTTGATTTGAAAAGGTTCTACAAATGTGCAGACTACTGATTTATTCTTTATCATTTATATATTATTAATATGTAATTTCATACCTTTAGTATTTGTATATCGTATATGACAAAAGTATTATGTTTTATGTTTGAGATGGAAACAAATGTTAATATGCTTTGTTTTTATTAAATGTATTGATTTTTATGGACTTCCTATTTTGTTATTTTTCCCCTAGATACTGAGACAGAGTGTGAATATCCCTGAAGAAGTCCAGCTCTGTCCCAAACAACTAATTGGAATGACCCCATTTAGCAACGTGTCAAGGGAACACGACAACATAGACAATGTCAGCGCCTCCACAAATCTTCTGTGGTCCAAACTTAATAGCGTGTCATGGTGTCCACAACTAATACTGGAGGGGTCACAAAAACCCTTATGACTCATGTTAGTTGACGGCTCGTTCTTTAGCAGTGTGAATCCAAGCTGTGGGCAGAGTGGAAAAAAAACCCAGTATGGAGTGTGCAAATGGCCATACTCAATAAACATGTGGCTAGGTTCACCAGACTTCTCCAAGGTCCTGTTGGATCCCTTAGAGGTAGACCTAGAAGTTAAGTTATTCAGGAACATTTTATCTTAAAGTGTCCATGTTACATGTGTACATTTAGGCTGATTAAAATAATAATAATAGTGATAAAATAAGTTTATTTAAGCATTTAAATAACTCAAAATATTAAAATATAATATATATTACTATGTAATTACAAGTGCAATTACACTGTGAAACGATCAATGTAAAAAGTGTTAATTTAACTTAAGAGTGTGTTGTCTATGCGGGAAGACTAAAATAATTATTTTCTTCTTTTTTTTTTTAAATTGACTGTTTACAAACAAGTGTGTGGTCACTCGGTAAATACAAGGCTGTATTACGGTAAAATATGACATGTCTCTGTATGCCCCCCTGACCTATCAAAACAAGAAAAATGACCTATTTGCATGTCTTTGCACTACCAATACTGCTTTCTTTACAAAGCAATGATAAATACTCTGAAAATAATCATCCATCTCAATGCAGAATAACAGTCACCCTCCACAGACTCTCTGGCGCACTCTTGTCAATTTGCACTCTGCGTTCAACGTTAAATGTCTTTTTTTCTCTCTCTCATCCTGCTCTCATTTCTACGTGTTCACCCGAACAAGACAGCGCTGAAGTCAGAGAGAGGTCAAGCGCATATGAATGAGAGGAGAAAACTGTCAGCTACTTTTACATTACAGAGAAAGAACAGCGATGCATTCATCTCTGTGCAACAATAACAGAAAGTTCATCGCTGAATTTAAATCCAGCTCAGAATCTGGTTATGGAAAACATACTGGAGAGTCTTAAAAACAGACAACCAACAGTTATTTAGGACTGCACACGTGCAGTTTAAGGTTAATAGTTACGTAAAGCTTGCATTGACTGTTATGTAACTTGTTGGAAAGTACATTGCCATTTTTCCTTCTTAAGCAAGACGCTTATGAAAATATACGATGGAGCGAAGGTTCAGTTCCTAAATAAATTTGGACAGTAACGTGATTTGTGTTTAACGTTTGAATGTCAAAAAGCTTTGACTTATTTATTTGACATTTGCGTTGTGCGTTTAGGCTGCATGACAAAATTAGACAAAACTCGCTCAAGTCTTCGCTCAAATTAAACGGGAATTTAATTATCTGTTAAACTAGATGTTGGCGTCGAAAGAGAAGCGTATTATTAAAATATGCTGCTCTTTGAGAGAGTTTTGCGAAATATATTTTACAGAAACCCTTACGGCTTTCAATCAGTCGCCAAGGTCTAAGATTTATATTTAATAGCCTATATTTGTTTATGTTTTCAAATTTTTAATATCAGATATTTGTATTGTTCATAAAATCATAAAATATGTATTATTTATGACAATTCATAACTAGAGTCATAATCCGTTGTATTAGGTCAAGATCGTTCACATTTTCCTGAACTAATGGTAGGCCTAGTGTTTGTGCTAGGATCGAAACCAATGCAAAATGTTATTTACGGCTATAGCGTGTTTATGAACTGTCATCTGTACCCCTTTTATGGGGTGTTATTATGCATATTATGTGTGTAAAACGCACCTGAATGGATTTTTGTATTTATTTATTTTAATAGCCATTTTGCCTTTAATTTTGTTTGAATGCTGGGGGTACCACAACGGGCAAACTAACAAAAAACAAGCACGGATATTTTAGTTAACAGTCATATCCATCAAATAATCTAACGTAGCCACATTGTAATGGCGTTTGTCCATGGATATGATTGTTGTGCTTTTATTTTCTGGGGGAAAATAGGAGTAATGAGGATAACAGGCAAGCGAAACGACTTCCTTCAAAAATGTGCATTCCATTGTACGGATCAATACATAACACTTTCTACTGCTACTCTAACGGTGCATGAATGAAAATGTACCAGAACGTTTGAATAGATAGAGTGTTAAATAGAGTCGAACAATTCATTTTATTACCATCATTCACATATCTCAAAACCTAATAACCCGTGGAAGGAGAATATGAGCATATTTCGAAAAAAAATCACCTCCGACATAATGTATTTCGTATTCGCCCCTACTGTTTGATGTGCCAATATGTTTATATTTTCCCGAAGTCGGTATCTCCTCCTGTCGGTGGGCTATTTCTCACGCGCATGCACGCGCACGGCAGTCTACTCTCGCGCCTGCATTTGTGCACACCCCCCAAGAGGAACATGTAAACATTGTAGGGTATATCGTATTTTCCTTTAAGCGACTAGGCACCGCTTTGCTACTAACATGTCGCCGGATCGCATTTAAAAACAAAAATACATCCAAATGGCCACGAATTAGAAACACTGCTATGCTCGATTCATTAGTTTCATAGCCTTCGGGCACAGTTTAAATTTGCACATGCTAATGATCTTGTGTTATCTGAGACACACACACAAAGTTGCATGCATGCTACTCCTAATAGTACAGACCGCGTGCTTGCGCTCAGATTGCCCCCTCCCTCCATAGGTAGTCTATACATTCCCTCTCTCATTCTAGAAAACTTTGCACTTTCTGGCCGTGAAGAAATACGCAATGGTTAAACAATTTATCATCTTGTAGATTTTAATATCCAAATAGCATATTTTGTATCTTTTGAGAATTGTGCACTGGCTATATCAAGCACGCTCATGATCTTGATGTGCCTAATGGGGCGATCAAGCAAGTTGCAGCCAAGAACAAAAGCCCAACAGTGACTCTTTTCTCGGACTAAAGTCCTCCACTCCTACCATATACTGGTCCCAAACAAGCATAATTACGTAAGGCAGAGTCAAGTAATGCTAACTATTTCAAGAAAACCACGTAGATAAATTCGTCACGTTTCAACGTTTTAATGCATTAAACGTTACTCTGGGGACTTGGTTATATTTAATCTCTGACAATAATGAGGGGAACAAAAGTGAAATTAAATTACTTAAATAATAATTCGTCCTGCTGAATTAGTGGTGCAAAAAATAAAAGCAAGCGTTTTTTTTTTTTAAGGGCTGAAATGTCATTTCCATTTTAAGCGTTAAGACTAACTCTTGTCATTGTGATAGCCTACTTAGCACCAGTTGTTATTGTTGTAGTTGTGTGATGTTTTAATTTAGACTCATATTATTTCAAAATGATAGAAAAATAAATATAAATAATAAATAGGTTACTTGTTGGAGTTTCCTTGTTGGTATTTCTCAACCTACAATTCATTTGTTTAAAGAACAGTCGAGAAAAAAAAATATTGAAGTCATTTTTGTTGTACGTTTAATTCTTTAATATTGTACGAAAAGTAACCAAACATTATTTTGTAAACTAAATTTTACATACCCTACGAACGCATTTTCCATAAATACCGATTATCTCTAACATGTGTTACCGGTCCTTTACATGCGGATAAATATGGAAAATTGAGTTATATACAAGTAATAATTTCTTGCAGTTGCCAATGCAATAGACAGATAGTTTTATATTTTATCACTTACATAAACAAGATTGACACGGAGCTTCAGGCTTTCACTACACGGTTTATCGACATGACATTAAATAACAACAACTGTGTGCTACTCAGACTGGACTGGAGACGAAATGTTGCACTGGATACAAAAGCACATTAATACTAATCGGTTAGGTAAACGTGTAGACTGTGGTAATACTGGGTAATTCACATTTGGTACACATAAACTATAACATTCTTTTCAGTCAAGACTATTCATCGCAATATTCGTAAAACCATTTCATTTTCCATATATCTAGGGACCACATTTTTTCACAAATTCCCTTAAATTGTATTATGGCTATTTACAAAATAAAATATTACATTTTAAACTAGGTAAATCTTTATGTACAAAACAAAACAGGCTGTGACCTGCTAGCATGCAGTTGAAGTTCTCTGTGCAGTCTTCCGAAAAAAAAAAAAAAAAAAAAAAAAATGAAGAAGAAGAAAAAGGGGGGGGGGGGGGGGGGGGGGCAAAAGAAATGGTGGACAAAAATCGGCTGTCAAGAGCGTTGCACACCCCGTCCATGCACTGCTCTCTTTAGACAGCGGGTTCAGAAAACCGTTCAGATTCTTCACATTGTGTGTGTGTGTAGGTCCACGCGAGAATAGGCTGACTTTTGAGTCTTGATTCCAAAGCAGTCTTAATTCTGCAGTCTTTTGAAAATATTTACACGTACCATTCATTAAAATTTGACGAAAGGGTGCTGTGGCTGCTCGTGTGGTGAACTGTGGATGATGCTGGTGATATGGAACTGCTGCTCTGGTTTTCTGTGGAAGGGGACACGATGGTGGGCGGCGTGGAGGACTCGTAGCCGGAGCTGGCGGCCGGGGAGGGTTGGGGTCCTTGAGACGAAGCCTCGTGAACCTGCTCCGAAGGCAAACACAAATCAGTTTCTAATCTCAAGGAAACTGTAACAATCACATAGATTCGACCAGTATGTATTTAACGTTATGGCTCGATTATTTATAGCGTTAGCTTTTATAACATGGCATATAATTTTAGTGCAAATTTTTCAACACTATAAAAAGATTCAATAAGAGGCCAAAAATAAAAGTAAACTGGAAAACAGCGTTTCAGTAGGCTACACAGAAACGGGGGGAAAAATGGAAAATGCATCAAATAACATAGGTGAAAAATAATTAACTGTAATGTCATTGTTACCTTCATGTGTTTCCGGAGGGAGCTGGGATGTGTGTAGGATTTATCACACATTTTGCAGAGATATGGTTTGTCAGAGGTATGGACGTGCATGTGTTTCTTACGATCACTGCTGTTCGCGAAGCGCCTGTCACAGCCTTCAAACTCACACTTGAAAGGTTTTTCACCTAACAGAAACACAGAGCAAACATTTCTCAAAATACAATTTTATGAGGCGAACACGTGCATTTAAAAAAAAAAATCTGTTACATTTCTAGATATGCCTACATAAATAGAGCAAATAAATATGAGCAAATATTAAAAGTTACTGTCCCTACTCCACTATACACAACTCACAAAAATAAATTATTTAAATTTCGCCTGAATTATCAAGGCTACGTTAATCTGCAAAGATACCGTACTCCACGCGTTTAATTTGTTAGATATTATACCACCCATTACTAACATAAATACTAATTCGTGTCATAGAATTATGCTTAGAGTGAGCATTTTTATATAGGACAAAGAAACAAATAATCATAATAATAATACCAGCATTATTTGCTTGGCAATAAATGCGTATTTACGGCTCCTTAATTACAACATATACAAATACAAAAAAGATACCAATACAGAAATATGTATATGAAAATAATGAATTTCTTACCGGTGTGTGTTCTTTTATGGATTTTCAGATTTTCCGATCGGGCAAATACTTTTCCACAGCCGGGGAATGGACACGGAAACGGTTTTTCTCCGGTGTGCACTCTGATATGATTCACAAGTTTATACTTTGCTTTAAACGGTTTCCCTTCCCGGGGACACTCTTCCCAAAAGCAAATGTGATTCGACTGCTCTGGTCCCCCAACGTGCTCCACCGTCAGGTGGGTCACAAGCTCGTGCATGGTGCTGAAAGTTTTGTTGCAGGACTTTTTCGGATTCGTCAGCTGCTCCGGTTCGACCCATTTGCAGATGAGCTCTTGCTTTATGGGCTGTCTCATGTACCGAAAGAAGGCCCCTGCCCCGTGATGAGCAGCCATATTCATGTTCATGGGGCCATAGCCGTGCAACTGAGTCGACGCGTAATGCTCGGACCTCGGACTCGCGACGTGACCATATTGTTCGGCCCTCCCGTACATGTCCCCGGAAAAGCCCAGGCGCATCTGACTGTTCACCACGTTGGAGGACGCGTGCGTGGCCGCTTGCTCGTGCAGTCCCGGGAAGAGCAGGTGCCCAGCGGCGTCAGAGTGTCCATGTGGCCCGGCGAAACTTCCAGCGGCGGAGGCGAAGAGACTGTGCTGCGCGCTCGTGGCGTCTCCGAAACCCCGATTGCGAAAGAGAAAGTCCCGAGTGGAGTTGAAGGCGGCGGTGGAGTACGAGCTGACATGAGTGGGGTGATGATGGTGTCCCAGGGCAGCGGCGGCGGCGTAACCGGGGGCTTGCGAGGAAAACGCTGTTTGGCCAGAGCCAAGATCGTGGGAGCTGTGGTTGATTTTAAAAGCGCCCATACCGTCGGCGAACGGATTGATACCCAAAGCCACTTCTCTGTCTGTAACTTCGCCTGTTGAGTGATGTCTGGTGGAGCCGAAAGTAGTCACTCCAATGGTGGGATACTGTGGTCCTGCGTCCAAGAGCATCTTCAGTCTGCAGCGGTGGAGACTGAAAGAGGAAGAATCTCTAGCAACTGTCTCTGCTTGCTATTTCTCTGACTTAAGTCTGTGCCAGGCAAACTCCGATGCCCTATTCCTATTTACTTTTTCGTCGAGAGGAATTTCCCTCTCCTGCTCATCCGATGCACACGCAAATCATGTGCAATATTGTCTTTTGCGGTTTATCTTCCTGTGGCGCAACTTTCACCTCCTCAGTCAGGCGGTGAGCTTCAGACTGATAGTCGCAATCATTCCTGCAGATAAATGAATTGAAAAGACAACACAGTCCACCCCTGATGAATGGGGAAGGAGGGGGGCAGCACGTGACCCCGTGCTTGGACCATCATTGGAGAGGGCGCTCTCCCCCTACTAACATTCACTCACCAAATAACAGCCCGCCATGCCTCAGCATCAGTGCGATTGGTCGGTTTACATCATCAATCTATGGGATTGTCGGGAGGTTGCTGACTGTGATTTTGCTCTGGATGTTAAAATTCAGAAAACAGACTTTAGTGAATGCATGGCCGAATAATGGCTTTTGTCCTAGACGAAGTAGCTACTTCCACGTTTGGCCTACTTATGTGGCAGCCTGGTGCTTTGAGAAGACCCTGGCGCGCATCTAGTAAACACTCACTGAAATGTGATACAGTGTGTTCTTACAAGACATGCAACTCATGCGCGTTATTAAAAAAAAAAAAAATGCTGTGTTTCATATGGTCTTTCCATAAATGTGTAGTTAAAATTACATGTAAGTTATCAATATTTATGCCTCAAGTGGTAATTTTTAGCATCGCCATGCTATTTACATCTTTAAGAAATGAATGCACAAATTTGTAAAAAAAAAATATTATCTATAAAGATAATTGTAATGCACGGGCTGCAACACCAAGGCCTGCACGTTTCTGGCTACTTTAACAGTGGGCATTGTATAGTTTACTTTATTTGCAGGCGTCATTTTAATGATGTTCTCACTTTGAGAGATCTCGAGGAAACTGTTCCTTCAACACAGTGGTTTTGCATCGCGCTTCTGCACAGCACTTGTTTGATGCTGTTGTTGGAATCTAATTATTGCTTTTATATCCACATTATATACTTAAACGAAAACGCAGTGCGTTGTAGGCCTCTGATTAACTTCTTTCTTTTTCTTTTTTCTTCTTCTTTTATTGAACAGCACATGCTCTTTGCTCAAACTCATAGGCCTTCCATAGGTACCTTCAAACATCAACTGATAGTTTCAAACCTGCGAACGAGGTGTGTCTTTCTGTAATTCATATGTATAACCTGTGTTTTTAAAAGATTACGGCCGTAATGTATCACCCTTGTGTGTGAGTAAAACTTGTGGGTTGTGGAAGTTGTGAAGTGGGATTTCTCTCTGCAGGAAACTCCGGCGGCTGGAGTTCAAAGCCGCATGAACAGACGAACCATTAAAATATCATCCAGACTGCAGCCTTCAGCTCCATACACTCTCAAACTCCTTCCAGTGAGAGAGAGAGAGAGAGAGGGAGGGAGAGAGGGCCAGGCAAAGCTGTTGAGTTGAATGTTTTGTCAAACGGACGTTATCTTTATAAAAGAAATCTGGACGGTGTATTCAACAGGTGAAAAACGGTAAGACTCGAGCGTGGGGACGACATAAGTTTTGGAGGCGGAAATCATTTGGAAATATTAACTGACGTGTTTTAATAACGTGTTTTTTTTTTTTCCATATGCAAGTATTGCTTGCAACAGTTAAATTAGTTTTTTAAAAGACTGGAATCAGTGAAGTGTACTGTATTATTATAATTATTATAATATTTTGTATAAATTAAAAGTTAAAGAATATCAAAAGGACAAGCACACATATTCTGTTTGGTGCTATTCAACTTATTTTTTTGTAATCTTCTAAAAGTTTCAGTAAGCCAAAATGCGCCCTAAGAGTAAAAACAAAAAAACAAAAAAAAAAACATTGCAACTTTATTTTAACTACTGATGAGTATACTGTGCTTGGAACGTTTTTTTTTTTCTTTGGCCTGCAATTGGATTTACTCAGTGTTAATGATTTTGGCCAATATTTGACTCATTGCTGAGTTTTCCATTCTTTATTGCCAAATCAAAAGCGTATTGTGTCTTTGCATATATTCCCTCCCTTTACTGCACGAAAAGAAGCTAAAAAATAAACTTTAAGTTACATGCTAAAGAAATTCCTGAAGAATGCAACTGCGATCCAATCGACCATGAGCCCCAGCCATTTGACTAACTTATCCACTATTCGACATAGTTCATACAATGTTTACGTATTTATGACACGGATTGTGGGGTTTTGTCACCAGAGGCCTGACAGATCAATTCATGACCTTCCTCAAGGGAATACCAATTCATTTGCATCAGTAATTGAATACATCTTGACCTTGATTAAAATTAAGCCACCTAAACTTGAAGAAATGTCTAAGGTCACGCTTTTATTATTTTCAAAGATTACATTTGTGGATTTTAGACTTTTGTATTCACATGTGATCGTAATACGTGAACATAAAACGATCACAATGGCCCTCAGATAAAGTAATGTTTTCGTGAAATGCGATTTTCATTCTTGCAACCGCAAATAAAATCAAATAAAATAAAATAAAAAAAAATCTGAAAGAAAAAACTTTTTGCTATGTCGTCTTCTGTTTCTACGGTTTGCACTGATATGCTGTAATAACAAACTATACACCTTTGAATGAAGTTGCAAAGCAATGTGGGCTGGGGGTGTCAACTTTTTCCATTTTTCATCGAGACCAATGAGCACTAAAACAATGTAAATGCTGTTCCATACGCTCACGTATAATCCGCGTAATTCCAGATAAATCTAATAGTAACTTTATGACCTGTAGGTCAGTTCCCCCAACAACTCCTATCTGTGTCTGGCCGGCTTGATTAAGATAAAGCTTTAAAACAGCAATTAGGTTATCATTCTGTATTGGAGTTATAGTATTTGCATTTTTATTGTGCACGGAGGAAACATTCCATGCACCAAAACTTCTTTCACTTCGTCATGGTGATTTAAACTGCACTGTTTATGGCTTATTTTATTGCATATTGGAAAATTAGATACAATGACATAGTAACAAACAATATCAGATCAAACTTTTATTTTGTCTTATAATTTATGCTATTTTGGATTGATTTTATAAGTTTTCCTCTTATAACAATTATATATATTTTTTCTCTTTTGCGCAACATGTAGGCAACATAATTTTAAAACATTTTAAGAACGACACTGTATTAAAGTGCACACTGCATGTGTGTGTGTGTGTGTGTGTGTGTGTGTGTGTGTGTGTTTGCATTATATATATATATATATATATATATATATATACATATATATTATACTGTTTATGTTGTGGAAGTAGTGTAGAATTTAACATTTAATTTATCATATTCTACACCTTGTGTACATTTAAAGCACCAATTAGATATACATTCACCGACCATAAAGCCAATTTTATATCTTGAAATATCAGCATTCGCTTAAAATGCCTTCCCTTGGGCAAAGTTCAAAGAATGTCATTAAATCTCTTGTGCTTGTTTTCATGAGGTGGATACTGTCCATTTGCTTTCAAGCCTTTTATCCAAGATAACACAACACAACAGCCGGTTGTTGATTCATGGTTGTACTTTATTCATAACAGGTGCACTGTCAACAGTGTGTTTATGAAATAACGGTGGGTAATGTGTGAGATACATTTTACGTTTCGGAAAGACTGCATTGAGTGTGTATTAGGATTTTTATTTAGCAGCTACTCGAGCTTTTATGCCAAGACTTTGCTTTGCTGCCCTGTGCACTTTTGATGAAGCACCACCTCCTGCGTGCCTGATACGCCGCCGCTGAACAACTGGGGCCGAAAATTACCCCCGATCATAACAACAGGTCTTTTGCGATACTTTTTTCCCCCTATGGACAATAGGCGACCTTCGCGCTTTTCACAGGACACTGATCCCATGACGACGCAGAAGCACCGTTAGAGGAAAACAAGGGGTCTGAAAACTTTTTTTTCAACAAAATGGTTAATTACAGGAACAAACAATCGGGGTCTGAGCAAGCAGCTTGCTACTGCAAACTTTAACTTTGTACTTACCGCCGTTTTTGAGGTTTATTACGACGCTTTTTCATGCTTTCTATAACGGAACACCAGACGGAACATATGTTGCATTTTTATTGCATGCAAGCCCACTCTTTCTAGTTTGCCTATTGCGGTAAGTAGCTAAAACGCGCTCTTTTAGAGCGCAGTCGCACGTTTTCCACAGCTGTAATATAAAGAAAGGATACATTGCTTCGTTGCAACTTCGGGGTTGCAGTTAAAAGTACAATAACCTTTGCATAACAAAAGCATTTTTTTCATCCGCTGCCTGAGGCTCGGCGCATGCGCGCTCGCTGTTTGCTGTCACTAAAACATTTTTCTTCGCATTGGAAACTGTCACGAGTGACGTCAATCACGGAGCACTGACCAATTAGAGCGCTCGGTGATTGTTTGGCTCCACGGGCTGCAGCGCCTACCATGAATCTCTATTCAGTATATCAAAGCGTCCTGCTGCTGCCTCTCAACCGAATGGGATTCCACGTAGGCACTGAGATAGCAACTAAACTTTAGGGGAAGTTTAATTTTTTTTTCTTCTTCTGTATTCTTCAAAGCGATTAAAATATATTTGTCATCATCATTATTATTATTTTGCCTGCTGTCAAGTTATTCTAAAATTAGGAGTAATGAGCGTGGATGCTTTGGGAAGCCCTGTGATGGACCCCGCGTTTTCCAAACGGAACACGACGCTGAGATTAGTTGACTTGGCAGGGGCTCACCACCATCACCATCATCACCACCATACCCCTCAGAGCGTGACAGGCTTCCCGGGGTTCAGCAGCCATCCACACTCAATGGCTCACTCGCACCCTGGGGAGATGACTGCGGAACCCCGCCTGGGGCCGAGTCCATTCGGGCCAGAACACATGGGGCACTCCGCGGCCCTCAAAATCAGCCCAACCCATCATTATCCCCACCACCATCACCACCACAATCATCATATTGCAGGCCACAGTGAAGTGGTCTCCAGTCAAACGGGAGCTTTTGGCCCGGTGCAGGCGGCAACGGTTCCGTACTCTATGTCTCACACGGCCCAGGCGCTATCCGCAGGTAGGGATTTCCTCATTCGCCGAGATTTGACAGCTCAAGCCATGCCCGTGCTGACCGATCAGACTTCTGGTTCAGCCTCTCACCACGGAATGTTTGTCTCAACAACAGGTAGCTATCCGGGACACTATGGTCATCACCCCGACCCTGGGAACCATACTCTCTTCCCTGGACTTCATCACGAGCAGCCATCTACCGGAGCACCAGGTGGCCAAGCCTTGAACGGACAAATAAGGTTAGGAATACCTGCCGAAATGTACGTTCGGTCTGATCATTTGAGTCAAGTAGCGAGCTCCAGGGCAGACCCGTTCTCTGCTTCTCCGCTGCACGGATACGGCGGACTCAATCTGAACATGAATCTCAGCGCACACCACCACCACCACCATCACGGAGCTGGCGCGTTTTTCCGTTACATGAGGCAACCGATCAAGCAAGAGCTCATCTGCAAGTGGCTGGAGCCAGAGCACTCCGCCAAGAAACTTTGCTCCAAAACTTACAGCACCATGCACGAACTGGTGACGCATGTGACTGTGGAGCACGTTGGAGGACCAGAGCAAGCGAACCATATCTGTTTTTGGGAAGAATGTCCACGAGAGGGAAAGCCGTTTAAAGCTAAGTACAAACTTGTGAATCACATCAGAGTGCACACCGGAGAGAAACCGTTTCCCTGTCCATTCCCCGGCTGTGGAAAAGTATTTGCCCGATCGGAAAATCTGAAAATCCACAAGAGGACACACACAGGTCAGTGACTTAATTTGCTGTCCCTTAGGACAGTTGGGTTAAATACTAGCGGCTCATAATGCTGAAGTGTAAACAAATCGATGCACTGCAACTAGTTTATTAATGACGTGAGCTAGCTTGCATGCTACATAGATGCACAGTTTTCTAAAATGCCGCTTTTTCTGTATAGAAATGTAACATGCATCAGCTTATCTGTAAAGAGTTTCGCAGAAGACTGGCATAATTTTCAATGTTATCGCTGTTATTTACTCCATGTGATGAATACATTTATTTAGTTTACACCTAATAGAGTAGCCTATCATATAGCATACTCGTTTAGCAATAGTCGTTTTTAAAAGAAAAACAACCACAACGGTAGAGCACTGTTGAGTGTTACTGTGTTCACGTTACTTGCTTTTTTAAATATGGTGCGTTGTAAAAATTTTTTTTTTTTTAAATGCAGTCCTTACTTCATAACAGCTTCATGATGTCCCAACACATTCATGTGTTTGGGGCCTACTGCGTTTAGTCGGCTGTAAAAATAAGAGATGAAAAGATAGTCCTGCCTTTTCCCCCCACTATAAATCGCATATGGACATCGGCTGTTTACAATTATTGTAAGTTGCACACAAGTATTTATCTACTTTGCAAATTGTTATAGGCTACGATATTTTTTTTTATCCTAGAAATATTTGTTGAAGTTCTCTGTAATCCCCTCAGAACGGTCTACATGAACATGGTAGCATTTTTAGAGAGCTAGTGTCTTGTTTTGCTTACACTGCAGTGTGTGCGTGTGTGTGTGTGTGTATGTGTGTGTGCTAGGCTTTAGAAAGAAACTGTCCAAATCGACTTTCATGAATTGAATCAAGAGACAAGATGTTGTAATTATTTACATTTATGTCTGAACTGTGACGATATTAGAAACTACGTATTCACTGTTGACAAACCTCAGATTGGCCGCATGCAACAAGTCGGAAAAAGTTATGAACTTTGTTTATTACTAAGTTTATTTTTATTTATTTTAATGCGTTGTGGGCTCTATACAACTGGAAGGTGTTTTTTTTTTTTTTTTTGCACTTTTGCACTAGATTTAGTAGATAAGGTGAGTGCGTTTTAATTATTATTATTTTAGGCTTTTTATTTATGTTTTTGCATTTTTGGCATAATAAGGTTTTCAAAAGGAGACTACCTAAGTCGTGTAACGTTTACCTGAAAACTACATTTAAGATAACAACCCTTCGGTTTTGATGTTTAACCAACGTTGTTTATTACTTCTGTGCGACGTTCCCGCGGGAAGGTACGTCATTTTTTTTAGCTTGGGCGGTATTTGAATCTTTGGTTATGGATATGGTTTCCCAAGGGTCTCTTCCTTGCTGTTTTCTTGTAGTACACTAATATTCTTGATTGGCTTTCTCGGCCCAACAGCTGAAGGTCAAATTGATATTCAGCGAGCAACTGTAATTAGACAGCAGCAATTACGTATTCTTATAAACTCCTGGAGCTTATGTCCTTCGGAAATAAGCGTGATGTGATTAAATGTAATTAATTCAAACATTTCTATTGCCTGGCCGCCTTCTCCAGCAGCTATTATTGTTACAGTGGGACAGGCCTAATAGCAGTTTAGATGGTGGATCAGATGTATTTTATGAGATCTTCATGCTCGACATTCCAAAGGTAAATGAAACTACTATGAGAGCGCGTGCATGTTTTAAAAAAAGGATGTCCAATAATCTGTAATTGTGAAAAGAAATCATTGCTGTCTGATTGTTTCAGTCACAAGGGGCTTTGCCATGAGAGCAGACAGGGCAGTAAAAAGATAATCACGATATCATGGGGCTCATGTGAGCTGATTTCAGACTGACATGCGTTTGACTAATGCAAAGTATATTTGGTTATGCGCTCGTTATAATGATTACAATTGTGATGTTCTTTGCCTATAATGACCATTGTCCACAACTGTTTTGTTGTTTTAGGTGAAAAGCCTTTCAAATGCGAGTTTGACGGCTGTGACAGACGGTTCGCCAACAGCAGTGACCGGAAAAAGCATTCCCACGTACACACTAGCGATAAGCCGTACAACTGCAAAGTCAGAGGTTGTGACAAATCGTACACGCATCCCAGCTCTTTGAGAAAACACATGAAGGTGCACTGCAAGTCTCCACCTCCGAGTTCTGGTTACGAATCATCGACTCCATCTCTTGTTTCTCCTTCATCGGACTTGGGACGGGAGCCAGCTCCCTCTGCGCTCTCCGAGCCGCTCTCTTCATCGTCCCAACCGGCCAATTTAAGCGAATGGTACGTGTGTCACAGCTCCGGTGCCAGTGGCCCTCAGACCCCACCCAGCGGTTCCTCCACGCCGGGCCACACGGAGGGGCCAACGTACGGCAATCCTGAACGGAGGGACGCCTTCTAACAAAATATTAGCCCATAATATTCATTTGGCAAAGGGACTGAAATGACTTTGACATCTTTTCTTATTTGGACAGTCCATTTTGGACTGAACGGTCACAGGCTGACGTTCAAAGAGTAGGCTTGTCCACTGTTACTGCCTTACTGAAGGATGCACTGGCCCTTTGACAGCTAATGTCACTGCCCAACCACCAATCGATTTAAAACATGTCCCGAGTGTCTATGTTTATAAATAGTGTACTGGCCGTACGCATGTCACTGTATCATTTTGTAAATTTCCGCTTTGATTTCAATATCTTAATTTATTTTTTAATCGGTAAAGAATTTCTTTTTGTATTATTGAACCAAAGTGCTTAATTATTAAATCTGTACAGTTGTAAATGACGACGGTTTAATGTCTATGTGTGAACAGTACTTTTGTAAGGTTTTGTCTTTAGACAATTTTTAAATGTTTGCTACTCTACTTTGTACAAAACTAATATTCCGGATTATTTGAATTTCATAAAGACGTAGACTCTTTCCTCCATTTGTGCTTTCTCCAACCCAAGCCAATTTGAAGGGAACAGCGTTATTGTATTTGATATGACGTTTCATTTATGATTAGTCATTTATCAATGTGGTTATTTTGTGATTTTGTAAAACTTGTCAGCAATCCATTTTTATGAAAAATATGAATTATCAGAAGAGACCTTAAAATGTGTACCGAAATGCCTTGTACGTTGTCAGTATTTTGAATAAATTGTGTATGATGCAAAGCTAAAAGACCTCCTTAAGCTTTATAGGTATAATATATTGATTAGTCATCATTTAATACAAACCCCCTAAATGATCCAAATATGCATGCTCCTAAAATAAACTCAAACGTCATTGTAGATACAGCCAACTTAAAATAAATGTAATTCTCTAAGCGAACCCCATTGCAATAACTTTTTTATTTCCTTTTGTATTGCTTATACACACAGATATACCCTAGCTTTACACTCCAATTACATGGGCAGCAATTGATGAAAGAGTTGCATATTTTCACACAGACTTCAAAGAGGCTTTTATACAAAGAGACATTTTTTTCCACGACGGTGAATCTTCATGGTGAGTTAAGATTTCAATAGCAAAAGCCCAGTCAAATTTAAATAATATGGGCGACGGGGCCGTGGAATATGTTGTCAGAAGGAATGCAATATTTGCTCTGAAGAAACATTTACTTTTACCATTTACTCAAACGAATGTTTATTCGTTCGTTTATTAGTTTGGCTATTTTTCATGGTTGAAGAAAAAAAAAATTCTCACAAGAGGAATATGCCTGTGCTCATTGTTTTGGAATAACAACTAACAACTTTTGATATCAATTGCATATCCGAGCTAATGTACAATTAAGTCATTATAAATATCAATATCTATTTCTTCACGTTAGGAATCGTCATCCAACGAATGCAAAAATCTACCAATGTGAGTTTAGCTAAAACATTCTCAACCGATCCCTTTAAAATGGCAAACTCAGCGTTATGCATCGAATGTGTGTGTGACTGTTTAGCACGTTTAGCTTTAAACTTCTTTGTTGCATCTAATGTAAAATAAATACAACAGGAAAAGGCCAAACAGTGGCGTAGTCTGTCAGAGCTGTATCAGAGGAGAAAGGGATAGTTTGGTCTCAATTGAAACAGGATCCTTTGAAGTGATTTTATTATCAAGGGATTCTTGCATGTCGTCTAAACGACGCTGATGACATGGAAAGGCATCTCTCCGTCTCCATTCTGATCGTGATGTGTTTCAAGTTTTTCATTCCATTCAACAAAATAAGAAGAGACGAAGTGACCAGAAACAAGTACTTCCAAGTAATATCAACTATCGACAAGCTGACTCCTGGTGAGCCTGAGAGCGCGCGCGCTCGTCCGCGTGTCACAGTTGCAATTAAAGGGAACAGAACAATAAATGTTTCTTTTCAAAAGTTTCCCGCTTTTGAATAGTATCGAATGCGCTTTCCTTAGTCTCTCTCCAAATAAGCCAACCATTCGTTAGTTATAGGCCTATATTGTAACCAGCGGTGTCGAGCTGTTTTGGGAAACGTATTGTAAATGTCTCAAATACGAGGAATAACCATTCCAAAATAACAGTCTCAGCCGTCTCCTGAAAGAAGCTACAAGGGCAATAATAATAATAATAATAACAATAATTGACCTCTTCCAAATACAAAGGAAGCGCTTACAAGTGTGAAGTGAAACACAAATGAAACACATCCATTTAACCTTTTCAATTCTCATGATAAAAGTTCAATTATAGTTTATTCACAATATGGTGGACTTGGCCGAACTGAATTCGTATTCTTATTATATTAAGCAATAGCTTGCCTCTCTAAATGAAGCAGGAGGGAGAAAAAAAAATCTTCTTTGTTAAATGCAAACCAGAGCTCATTTGAGTGTGAAATATAATTTCTTTGTGAAATAATTGAGGCGATAATCACACTTCCGGAAACTGTCCTGCATTATTTAACAAAGCTCTTTTAATAGGGGATTAGCGGTTCTCTCCACACCATTCAACGCTCTATTTAATGTCATAATTACATGACAAGGGCCGACTGGAATTCGCATGCAAAATGAAAGGACAGGTGCAATGGCAAATAAATAAATATATAAACTAGTCAATAACACAAAGCAAGTTAAAACAGAATAGGCTACTTTTAGACCTCTTTGCCCCCTCCAACTCAAGCCTACACAAACCAACTGACTGTTCAAATAGTTTAATACGTATTGTTACTTTGCATTAAATTATGTTACTTTGCAGTTAATTATACTGTATCCATTGCTTTGTCTATTAAGTTGAATATCAATCAGTCAAGTTTAGATGTTTTTATAATGCTCAACTTTGCAAAGGTTTTGATTTCTAAAAGTTGTACACTAAGGGTTATAAAGATTTGGTATTGGTGAAATTATAATTCAACTTGAATCAACGTATAGCCAAGACTTACAAATAGGTAATTCATCAAGTGTGTTATATTGAACATTACTTTAATAAACAATGTGCAAGCCACTTTATGAGTTAAAATTAAGTACAACCATTTGCCAAATTTGAGTACATCTATAATGCTGCGATAATGCAATGTACCCCATCCCAGTATACACCACTTGTTTTGCAATAAAGTGTGCATGACAAGTTTTTAATTACAGTATAATAGCACATGTATTTCCATTCTAATACACTTTTTGTACATGTATACATGTTTCTTATTTAATTACAACACAAACACTGTTATGAAAAAGATCTTTTGGTTACACTTTATTTGAAGGTATCTTTGTTACACTGTTATTAAACAAGTACTGAGTTATAATAATTAACTACATGTACTCACTATAGGGTTTGTTTGGGATTAGTTGCATGTAATTGTGCATAATTTATAGTTTTTCCTACTAAATACATGTAACATATGTAACTGACTCTGTAAAATAGTGTTACCTTATATGAAAACGCAACAAGTTAATATTGCACTAACATAAGTTTCCTCTAAAAGAGAAATCTCGTTGCAGACCTGGCAGCAACAGGAATAAAAATAGGATAGTTTAACAACGTGAAACAAACTTGAACTTAACACATTATGACATCACTTCCTGCACCGTTTTGGAGGTGGAATGGTGAAGAGAAATGTAACTGCCATAGACTAAATGAAAAGAAATAGCGAGAAATGACTAATAAATTGGGTAGCCTGATTGAATAAGCGCCTAAATAGTCAGATTACCACCATCATCTATTCGTCGGCGCTGAGTTATTGTACTTTCATGGATGAAGGAGTTTTTCTCCAGTGAGAATCAGCCCCTATAGTTAGCAGAGTGAACACTGATCTCTAACAACCTTCAAATAATGTAGCAGAATGTGCCGCACTTTCGCACCTGCACTCTGAATGGGAACCTTCTTTCAATGTAAGATACGCTTGTTGGCCTTGAATCTCAAAGCAGCTGCATGAATGAGTCGAGCGACCCGTGCTTATTTCGCTTCCTTTGATCTCTGATCTCTCTCTCTCTAATTTGTTCGTATAGTCTGCAACAAGGACTTTCTCTTTGCTATTAAAACATTAGTGTCTATAAGGGCCACATGAACAGGATAGATGCATGCAAAGCAGCGCGCTATGTGGGGAGCATCGTGCACGTTTCCACTAAAAAACATTTAGTCAGTGAAAGCACATGTCATTGCTGTTTTATTCAACGGCAATGCGTTTAATAGAAGGATCCAAGAAAACACTGCATTCTTTATACGTTAAAGCCATTGGAAAGGTGATCATTTGCAGAATGCTTGACTGCTGAAATGAGGGAAACGTTGCATTTTTCCTCTAAATATATTAGGTCCAAGTCAAGTTAAGATGCAATACAAAACCCAGATGTGCACTCTGTGGGTCACGACATTCAGGTAAGTTGCCAAGTATTACCTGCAGTTATTTTATCTCTGGTATTTATGCATATTCACCACAAAACGCATCATGTTTCACGTGACTTAAAAGAAGAAGAAAAAAGAACACAAGCGTGTTTTAGTTCACTTTTGCCTAGAAGATTTGTTATGAGTTTCGGGTAAAATGGCTTTATTTATTTGTTTGTTTGTTTGTTTGTCTGCAAGACCTGGATACACGCAATATGTTCAGCTAAACCCATTTTATTGATGATCCCACCTCTATCGTAAACATTGTTAACTCAGTTGGGTTTCCTTAAAGTACTCGCAGATATTACAGTTTAATTCAATGTCTATCACCGCACAGACCGGCACTGAAATGCAAACAAAAGTAACTAAATTAAGTGAATTTCCATATTTTCTGTGATCCCTATGGATGGTCCACCTTAATCTCCAGATGCTTAAACTGACTGGTCAAAGCTGTGCTGGCAATAGGCCATGTATAGTCTTCTAAAACGATGATACAAGAGGCATCAATCAATGCAACTGCTCCAGCATTAAGCGTGCGTTACAATAGGGTAATGATGATAATGAAAAGTAAAAATAATGAAATCCTTTTTATGGGAGTATCAGATTTATTTAAGTGGGCCATACATCATCACCATGGGCAAATGATAATGAATTGCAGAATGTGCCCTTCAGCGATTAAGTATTTCTGAAATATAATTTATCATCTCGCGGTTCATATTTCATATTACCAGCAGCATATGAGGTGGTTTGTGAAAGGGAAATGGAGGCGAGAACGTTTTTCAGCTATAAAAGTTTAAGGCAGAAGAAGAAAGTGTTGTCTCCAGATATCCGCAAAATGGAGACGTCGAACTGCAAATATTTATTCTTCCCGTCTTCCGTGTCATGAAACTAGCATTACACTTAGTCCCTGTTCCCGGAAGACAGCGTTGCCCAGCAAAAGCAAATCTTTGGTTTCATCTGTTTTACTCACTTGAACACACGGCGTATAATGGTGAGGTAGAATGGTTAGTTATTGTATATGGTCAGTAAAGAGGCGTACTTAAAGAGTGTGTAACCAGCTTCTAAGACACGCAGTCACATTCCTCCGTTTGAACATCTGCACTAACCCGACATAAACCTCTGGAAAACAAGCATATATCACCACTGAAGAAAAATAAATTAATAAATTTAATTGATCTGATTGAAAATGACTTAAAGATCCAAGTTCATTGTATTCAATTTAGGGGCAGCATTTTTTTTAGTGTAGGCTATATATGTATTATTAATTTATTATTTTGTATTATTATTATTATTATTATACAGCCTCAGCAACAGGTTGTGAATCGGTTTTGTGAAACTTTCCGCAGGTGTCGGGTTTCAGACGTCTGAGAGTAACAGTGGAGATTGA